AAAGTGGCGAAATTTCCTTTCAAAGGAGTTTAATTTTGAGTACAAAATGTCGAATTCTTCAGAATTAGCATAATAGAACTACTCAAACTTGAGAAATCTCTTTTCGAGACTTTATTGTTCAACTAGCGGTCTGCTCGATGGTGCAAAATCAACAACTGCTTATCAACTTTTTTTCATTCTAGAAAGTCCTCAGGGGTTTTGTGGATGAAATAGGGTTAGGTTTATAAGTGCTAATTTACGTCTAAATCAAATAAGTCTAACCATTCTGAATTACGTCTAAATCAAACGGATAATTAGTAACCGAACGAAGTTTACTGTATGTTTATCATTTGCAACCATTCAAACAAATTGTTTACTGCACGCAAAAGTTTTGTTGCTTTGCGACACTCTTCTCCATTATTTTCCAACATTAATGCTTTATGTTAGCTCCTTTATATGCCTTTAATCTTAGATTTTGTGCTTATCATATTTTGTCATATATTGAGCGTCATTCTCAGCATGGGACCCTATATATTATGGTATTGGCAGATCTTCTATATTGTTATACCTACTATAGGTGTTTTCACAAATTCACTGATCGTATATGTGACGATTGTTGAAAAGTGAGAAAAGTTTTATTGAGTTTAACTATTTAAAAGAAGCAATTTCATAAAAATCGTTTCACAGACATTCTTACTTTCATTTTACTCAATTTTATTGACTTAGAACAATCTAAGGAAAAATTTTGTTTTAGTGGGAAAATGGATTTTGAAGTCTTTTTCAACCCAAATATCAGTGATAAATGTAATTTTTTTAGACGTCTGCGCTCACCATGCAACATCATGATTGCGATGATCGCATTCGGCGATATTTGGCACCAAGTCGGACAGCATGTGATGGTTATCAGCCATGATATGTTAGTAAATGCTCCAACCTTCTCTTTCTACATTTTTTCAAGCAATCAACACAGTTTTCCCATAACCTACCGTTACTTTCAGAGCTTTCAACTATACTATCTCTCAGAATATTTGCGTGCATTTTCAAGCTCTGCCGTTGTTTGGACTATGTTTTTCCTCAGGCCTTCTGGTATCCGTAGCATTTGATCGAATTTTGGCTGTGAAAAGCTACTAGTGAGTTTGAAAGATTATTCTTCGAAAGTTGTCAGTTAATTCTTCTATTTTTAGTCATCACATGCAAGCTAATAAAAAGCTCTATGTATTTTTGCACACAATCCCTAGTGCAATATTTGCACTTTCTTTCAACATCTGGTCTTATATGACCGTTGACGATAGGTATCTTGAGCTAACTTCGTTCGTATCTGCTGCAACGGCAAAATTGGTGTCATAGTTTTGAATATTTGAAGTTCATTTCTTTCAAGTCAAGTCAACTGTGGTATTCCTGATATTCTCACGGATAGCGCGTATAAGGCATGTTTCGGAATTATAGCAGTTTTAAGTATATTATTAGTCATCTGCTATTCCTACATGGTTATCAAACTACGCAACGCAATCGCAAGTATGTGCCTCAATCTTGAATGTACGAATGAGTGCTAAATGAATGAATAGATGTGAATCAAATAAGTGAATGAATGAATCAAATTATTAAATTTTTGAAGGGATTATACTATTATCAAATTATGGATAATTTAATTTCTGAATCTAATTTCTTCAGGCCTTTTTCTATTTTTCTTGAAAATTTTTGTTCCACAAAGAGTAATAGATTTGCATGATTTTCACTATTGGAAGCTTGTTCAAATCCTCATCACTGGTAAACCTTGCTTCCAGCAGATTCTCGGATGCGGGGATTACTGCGATCGTTGATCCTTATCAGCATGACGATCGTGTTTGGATGGTTCGCCACAAATTTCATACGTTTTGGTGCTGAATTTCTGCATTACAAAACGGGACCACGTATTGGCTTAGATCTTTTTGCTGGCATCTTTGTGCACATCTCACTTGCCGTCAATTTCTTCATTTATTACTTTGTTAGGTAATTGTCAGTATTGTCGAAGGCTAAAGCACTTTTGAGGAAAATCTTTTGTAGCACAGACTACCGCGAAGTTTTCGACAAACGTCTTCGTTTAAAAATTTTGAAGCAAAGACTGGGCATTGCAACTGCTTCCCGGAGCACACAGGTACGTTTAGTTTTATTTTTTGAAAGATAAAGGAGCTTTCTTGGTTAAGCTCTTGACTACTTAGAGCAGTTTAAAGGCAGCCTGTAGAGGCCAGATCAA